TTGATGGGCTCCACTGGACCTGGACGTGTCACGGTCGATGATGGTTCGATGGTGATGTAGTCGGTAGATCCTTTGGTTGATGATGCCACTGCTCTTACACTCCTGTGAGTTGGCTGTGGCAGTAGTTGTTCGTAGTTGTATCTTCTGTAGGCTTGATTTGTTGTACTCATGTACTTCTGTTGGTGTGAGACTAAGGTTGGTTGCAATCTCTGTACAGTAGTTGCAGTGGAGCTGAGGTGTGCACCCTCTTGTTGTTTCTATTGATCAGGTTCCCGCTTGTGGGTCAAACTCTGAATGCTCCAGCCATCCTGTGGCTTGGTTCCTTGTCTTGTGAACTCTTGAGTCGCTTGTAGCTAGCTACTCGGTTCAACGTTCACTGTCGTTCTGCTGTTGTTGCAGTTGCCGTTATTGTAGATGCAATTCGAATTTGGTTTGGTCAATTCATTGTAATCGGTTTGTTAGTGGTAGATACCGTTGTTGGCTGTTGTTGCCATCGATGCTGGCTGTTGATGTAGCCATTGATGGTTGTTGGCCGTGTAGTTGTGGCCATTGTTATGGCCATTGATGGTTACGTCATTGCCTATAAAGGCGGATGGTATGATGATTTTGTTTGTAGGATTGTAGGTTTTGGATTTGGGTACCCTCACACTCCTGTGCACTTGCTGTGATCAAATAGCAAGGGCATGGTCTTGTAATGGTATCTGTTGTTGCCTGCCTGGAGGCTGTTGTGGCCTCAGGTTTGCCTGTAATCAGGGAGGAAGTGCTGTGGATTAGTTGCACAATACACATTCCAAAAAAGTAGTAGGAGGTGCTGTGGCTTGGATGCCACAGGACACACTTCATCGAAAGGGGTAGGAGGTGCTGAGTGTAAACTCAATACACACTCCAAAGTAAATAATACATTGCTATGGGAGGATGCACTCCTGTGCTTCCTATTGCTTGGTGCATTGCTGCAGTAGCACTGGTGCCGGTTGGCTAGCTAGCTAGCTTTCTGCACGGCATACTGCAGTACCAGTAGCTCATCAATTGGTACCGGTAGCAGCATGCAAGCTTGGTGTGCTTGGATTCACCGTAGAATCCTCGTGTTGCCCACTGCCGATGTACCGTACGGAGAGATCTTGATCTGGCTCCGTACACTCCTGGAAAGATACCTTTTCCCGTTCAGTGGTTCTGCTTGCAATGTGGCCGCTCGCTGAACTGCCTGTAGGCTGTTCTTCGCAGTTCCGTGTCAGCACAGCAATTTCCTCACAAAAGCAAGGATTGCCTTCTGCTGTCGGCACTTTTTCTTCTTGTTGCCGATGGTGTTGTCGACCGGCAGCCACAATGGCGCTGTTGTTGTTATTGGTATCCTCGGCCGATGGCTGTAACAGTAGCGGGAGCGCCTGGCTAGTAGTAGCCGTCGCTGTTCTTGTTGTTCTTGCTGTCGTAGTGGTAGCAGTAGTAGCGATCGTCGTTTGTTCTTGTTGTTGCAGCAGTCGTTCGTTCGTCGTGTCAACACTTCGGCTGACACTCCTCTTGATGCCGTTGCCAAGGGTCACGATTGTGCCGTTGACGCTTTCGGCAGCGACTGACTAGTAGTAGTCGTGGCCGTTCTTCTTGTTCTTGTTCTTGTTGACAGCAGTAACGACAGCCTGTTGTCGTCGCTCTATTGTTCTTCGTAGTGTCGGCTGACACTCCTGATGCCGCTATCGGTGATGACGTGATGCGGCGCTGTCTTTATTCCTAGCAGTAGCAGCTGGCTAGTAGTAGCTGGCTGCCGCTGTTCTTGTGGTCGTCGTCGTCGTTCGATCACTTTATCGTTGACTGACTTCTTGTTTGCTGGCGGAATTCGCTCGCAAATTTGCTCTTATCCAGCCTGTTGCCGATGGATGCAACTCGCTCTGAGGTCGATTCGAGTGCTTGCACTCTTGAGGGCCTGTCAGTGACTGTATAGTAGCCCACTTCTGTGTATGACAGTCCTCTTGTAGGACCTGTGGTTGCCGAGTTATCGGCCTGGTAATTTGTCTTGTTATTGTGCGTTGGAATTTTCTGTTCCGTCGCACCTCTCTTCTAGTAGCCAACTGCGATGGCTCTCTTGTTGAGGATAGGAACTCTCCCACGGAAGTACCTCTGTGGCGTACCTCTGGTTCCTGTTGGAGTTTGATATCTAACTCCTCTTCCGTGGCAACACTCGTCGTGTCGCTCGGTCGACACTCTTGGTTTCGTTCTTGGTTGCTCTCCGTAGTACCCTAGCTGCACTCTGTACAGTAGCTTCTACAGCCTTGGCTCCGGTTCCTCTCACCGGAAGCCTTGTTCTTGGACTCGTCGTGGTAGCTAGCTAGATAGCCTGGCCAGCACCAGCAGTCGTGCGATGAGTCTTCTTCTTGTAGTTGGTTTTCGTATCAACACTGCACTAGCAGTCGTACGATGGCTGTTTCCGCAGCACAAAGTCGCTCACTCCTGTGAGCTATGCTTCGTTTGCTCACTCTGGTGAGCTTGCTTGATCTTGTTTTGGTGTCGCTCCGAAGCTGACTCCTGTAGTCTTGGTGTTTCTCGTACTGGTGTTTCTGTCGTAGGATGAATGCTTCGTCGTTGCTTCCGGAGCAGTTCTTCAATCGGTCGAAACTCACTCAGTTTCTACTAGATTCGATTCGGTGAGGTTGCCTTTCTTCTGCAAGGCTGTTGGGATAGCTCTCTTCGTGAAGCTAGAGCCCTTATATGCCTGCACCGTTCGTTACACCTGTTGTGTTTACCTTAGCTTGAGGATATCATGTAATAGGATGTCGATATCGACGTCGCCATTGGCGAAGAGACACTTCTTGGAAATAGTGTTGGTTTCTAGTAACACTCTAGCTTAGTAAAGGTAAAATACTGTTTTACTGTTAAGCTATTTCCAAGAAGTGATCTTTCTCCATGTTTTCTGGGATTGATTCAACTTCAAAGGATATAGTGAAGGGGGTGACCATATAGATCAGTTAAACTCCCCATGTATGTAACTAGAGAATAGATATAGATATCCCCTATCAACTAGATTGGGATAAACGACTAATTTGTATTGAGGTGTCTGTAATACAACCTCCAACACTGATAAAATCTGTTTCCATAGTTGTTACAGAACTTGTGTCCAACCAGAAAGTCCCGACCCTTGGAATGCTGATGCCTGAATGCTTGAGAGAACATAACATGCAGTCGATTCCGTGTTGAAACAGAAATCTCATTGCTGTCGCTAGCATAGATACTTCGGCAGTCTTGCTGCCAAAGCCCTCAACCCATTTAACCTCGACAGTCTTGCTGCCAGAGCCCTCAACCCCTTTTTACCTCGGCAGTCTTGCTGCCAGAGCCCTCAACCCCTTTAATTGTTTTTCCAGCTACGCACATCGGTTCAAACGTCTTTTAAGGTCTGGCCGTCGCTAGGATTGATTTTTCTTCAAATTGAGCCATTTGTTGGTGATAAGGACAAATCTGACGCAATATTCGCCTATTTGACACGAATTCGCTCAAATAAAGCCATATAATTGTCATTTTTAGCCCTACCACGGCCAGACCTTAAAAGACAATTCATCGATTTTGAACCGATGTGTACGGTGGTCCCTGCAGGTTTTAGGGTAGGGTTAGAATACAAATAAGTCAGCAAAAACTAAATAAGTATCCTAGGATGGTGTTTTTTTATAAAAACCAGCTAAAGCTATTTACATGCATCGTAGTAGGGGGGGTCTGCTTTTACCAGGAAAAACTCTGAAGCTACCAAAAGCTATATAACTAGTATTCTAGCTAGCTTAGGGTATCTGCTTCTAGCTTGCTCTGGGAATCTGCTTCCAGCTAGGGGATCTGCTTCTAGCTAGCTAAGCGCAAGTTAAGCACGAGCTAAGCACTACAGGTATCTGCTTCTAGCTAGCTAGCTAATAGGGGTATCTGCTTCTACACTAAAACCTTTCTGCAGAGGTTACACAGCTCCACTGGCTTAAATTGTTTTTCCTACTACGGTGGTCCCTGCAGGTATAAGGGTAGGGTTAGAATACAAATAAGTCAGCAAAAACCAAATAAGTATCCCTGTGTGCTGCTTTTAAAACAGCTAAAGCTATATTTACATGTATCCTAGGGGCATCTGCTTCTAAAAGGAAACTCTGAAGCCAGTGAAAGTTATATAACTAGTATTCTAGCTAGCTAGGATTATCTGCTTCTGGCTTGCAATGAGAATCTGCTTTTAGCTAGCTAGGGGTATCGGCTTCTAGCTAGCTACTACTAAGGGTGTCTGATTCTGGCTAGCTACTAGGGGTGTTTGTTTGTGGCTAGCCAAGCACTAGTTAACGCGAATTGTAAGACCTGCGCAAATATGCGCACGCCTTAAACGATGAGCGCAAATACGCGCTCTTCCTATTTAAAAGGCTTATACATTGCATGTAAAGTACGAACTGTTATACGAGCGACACATCAGTAGATTCTCCGTGTTTATCTTCGTATAAATGTGTATGGGACTTATTAGCCTATCTCAGGCATTGCAAAAGCTAGAATTGACTGAAAAAATGCGTTTTTCACCGTTTTTTATGATCAATCCGCCGTTTCTTTACCTGATTTTTCTTAACTCTACCAATTTGCCGTTTTATCTGTGATTTTACTTAAAAGGTGGTCCGATAAGCCCTTAACTAGCATGCGACTTGCGCTCATGCGACTTTTAGCCCACATGTTATTTTTAGGAGAAGTGCACCGTTGCGCACCTCTTATGCTTAACACCCCCACTCTACGATTCGTGTTAAGCGCTAGCTAAGCAGTACCTGCTTCTAGGTAGCTAGCTAATAGAGGTATCTGCTTCTACACTCAAACTTTTCTGCCGAGGTTCCACAGCTCCGCTGGCTTTAATTAATATAGCTTCTACCTTATGGGCTTGGGCGCAGAAGCAGATATGGTACCCCTAGGCTATAATGTATAGGTAGAGCTTTCATTTGTGTTTGGGTTTCTGTGCAGAAGCAGATAGGTTGTTTTGGGTTTCCGTGCAAAAGAAGATATGTACCCGAGCTAGAATACTCAAATAGTTTTCGCTGGCTTATTTATTCTCTAACCCTACCCTTACACCTAAAGAGGACACACTTAAAGGGGTTGAGGGCTCTGGCAGCAATGCTGCTGTGGTGATGTAGTCACTGCATCAAGTTTTCTAGGGGAAGCAGAAGGGCCCCTTTGGACTAGTGGTGAGGACTGGGTCTGCTGTTGTAGGGCATGCAGTTCCGTCAAACATGTCTTTAGTGTTTGCTGTTGTGGTGGTGATTTTGTTGCCCCAGGCAGACAAGTCTTGGTTGAATGCAGCGGCATCACGAAATGCATACCAAAAGTTTCCCAGAGAACTAACATCCCATCCTGATACATCAATGTTGAAGGAAGTGGCACCATCAAATGTGTTTGCCATGTTCCAGACCTTGCTTGTGACCCAGCCGGATATGTCTGCGTTAAACGCAGTGCAACCACGGAACAAGTACTCCATTTTTACAACTCTACTTGTGTCCCAACCAGAAAGATCACAATTGAAGTTGGTAGCACTCGCAAACGTGTATTGCAGTTCAGTAACTTTGCTGGTATCCCAACCAGATAAGTTACGATTGAATGCAGTTGCACGGTTGAACATTGAGGCCGTCTTCGTGACTTTGCTAATGACCCATCCCTCCACATTACGATTGAAGGCAGTGGCATCTTTAAACATTTTCCACGTAGATTGAACATTGCTAGTGTCCCAATTAGACACATCACCATTGAAAAGTGTTGCACCATCAAACATGCTTTCCATCGTTGTGACACTGCTGGTGTCCCAGGAAGTGAGATCTTCATTGAAGGTAGACTTGCCACTGAAGAGACCTTGATGATGCAAAATTGAGAAAAATTAGACTCTGCAAGTTCACATAGTAGAAACTATGAACCCATATCAACTTACCGGAAAAGTCTGTAATGCGTGAGACATCCCATGTTGCAATTGGTCCAAACTGAGAATATGTCCAGTCTCCTATTGTAATTGTAGAATCCAGCTCAGTCCGGGTCTCAAAGTAATCAAAAGAATTGTAATAACAGAATGGTCCTTTTGGGTCCACCGTCAGGTCGGGGTCTCCTGTTGCAGGGCATGCAGTTCCAGCAAACATGTCTGTGGTGCCTGCTGTTGTGCTGGTGATTTTGCTCGCCCAGGCAGTCAAATCTTGGTTGAATACAGTTGCACCATTGAATACAGAATCAAACTTCGTGACCTGGCTTGTGTCCCAACCAGATATGTTTGCATTGAAGGCAGTGCAATCACGGAACATATAATTCAGTTGTTTTACCTTGCTTGTATCCCACCCGGACAGATCAGAATTGAAGGTGGTTACACTGCTGAACATGAATTGCATTTCTGTTACTTGGCTGGTATCCCAACCAGACAAGTTACGATTGAATGCAGTGGCACGATTGAACATTGTGGCCATCGTCGTGACTTTGCTAGTGACCCATCCAGACACATTTCCGTTGAAGCCAGCAGCATCACGAAACATTCGAAATGTGGATTGAACACTGCTTGTGTCCCAACTAGACACATCACCATTGAAGACTGTTGCACCATCAAACATGCTTTCCATCGTTGTGACGCTGCTGGTGTCCCAGGAAGTGAGATCCTCGTTGAACGATGTGCAGCTTTGGAAGAGCTTAGAATATTGAAAAATTATGAGCTGCTGAATGTTGGGAAATGTCTGTGGCGGGAAGGTTGCCCAACAGGAACTTACAGCAGACAAGTCAGATACTTTGCGTATATCCCCTGTAGAAGATCATTTTGCGAGCACAAGTTAGTTTTAGGGGAATTTTTTGAAATTAGAAGAAAATAGTGCACTCTTGTGAAACTCACAAGTCGCTATTGCACCTGAATGATCATAGAGGGAATGAGAAAACCGGTGATTGGGAACAACATTATTCATGCAGGCACTTACCATAGGGTCCAGTTATTGAAAAATCTCCATCACAGTTGTTACTGGTACCTATCACAGCAAGGAGCTCTGCTTTTGAGATAAATGAATAGGAGACAGGAGCAGTGCTGGGGACATGTGATGGAATCATGGATGGGCTAGTGCTAGGAACTTTGGTTGGCACATTTGATGGAGTTATAGAAGGCACATCAGATGGACTAGTGCTCGGATATGAGGATGGAACATCAGAAGGGATGATGCTGGGGGCATTGGATGGTCTATTTGATGGAATGATACTGGGGCTTGAGGATGGAATGGCAGAAGGGCTTGAGGATGGAACGTCAGAAGGGCTGATGCTGGGAACCTTGGTTGGCCCATTTGATGGATTCATCGATGGAACATGGGATAGACTAGTGCTCGGATTTGAGGACGGAACATCAGAAGGCCTGATGCTGGGTGTCTTCGATGGCACATCTGAGGGAGTCATGGATGGCACATCAGATGGACTAGTGCTTGGACTTGAGGAAGGGACATCAGAAGGGCTGATGCTGGGGACCGTGGATGGCATATTTGATGGAGTCGTGGATGGGACATCAGATGGACTAGAGCTTGGATTTGTGGATGGAACATCAGAAGGGCTGACGCTGGGGACCTCAGATGGCCCATTCGATGGAGTCATGGAAGGCACATCAGATGGACTAATACTAGGTCTTGAGGATGGAGCATCAGAACTGAAACTAGGAAGCATGGATGGTATATTTGATGGAGTCATGGAAGGCACATCAGATGGACTAGTGCTCGGATTTGAGGATGGAGCATCAGAAGGGCTGATGCTGGGAACCTCGGATGGCCCATTTGATGGAGTCAAGGATGGCGCATCAGATGGAGTAATGCTTGGATTTAAGGATGGAACGTCGGAAGGCCTTGATGATGGAGCATCAGAAGGTCTGATGGTGGGGACCTTGGATGGCACATTGGATGGAGTCATGCTTGGTGTTGAGGATGGAGCATCAGAACTGAGGCTAGGAAGCATGGATGGATGATTTGATGGACTTATACTGGGGCTTGAAGATGGAATGTCAGAAGGGCTAATGCTGGGGCTTGTGGAAGTGTCGGAAGGGCTAGTGCTTGGGAGCATGGATGGTCTATTGGATGGGCTGAAAGAGGGCAAGTCAGAGGGGCTGGTGCTGGGACTAGTTGAAAGCGCATCTGAGGGACCCAAGCTTGGCTTCGACGATGGCATATCAGAGGGGCTGATGCTTGGAACATTGCTTTGACTAGGGCTCTCAGACGGCAACTTTGATGGGCTAGTTGATATTGTTGGACTTGTAGTAGGATTCCCTGGGGTGACTGAAGGCACTGAGGATTGATGTGCTGTAGGGCTTGTTGAAGGCGATCCAGATGGGATGGTACTTGGAACATTGCTTTGAGTAGGGTTCTCCGACGGCAACTCTGATGGGCTAGTAGATATTGATGGACTTGTAGAGGGATTCCCAATGGTCAATGTAGGCATTGAGGATGGTCCTCCTGTAGGACTTGTTGATGGTGACAAAGATGGGATAACACTTGGTTCATTGCTTTGACTAGGGTTCTCAGATGGCAACTCTGATGGGCTAATTGACGTGGATGGACTTGTAGTAGGATTTCCTGGGGTGACACTAGGTAATGAGGACAGGACTCTTGTAGGATTTGTTGAAGGCGACAGAGATGGGATGGAACTTAGAATATTGCTTTGACTAGGCCTCTCAGACGGCAACTTTGATGGGCTTGTTGATATTGTTGGACTTGTGGTAGGATTCCCTGGGGTGACAGTAGGCAACGAGGATAGGACTCCTGTAGGGCTTGTTGATGGTGACAGAGACGGGATAACACTTGGTACATTTCTCTGACTAGGGTTCTCAGACGGCACCTCTGATGGACTAATTGACATGGATGGACTTGTAGTAGGATTTCCTGGGGTGAAGCTAGGTAATGAGGATAGCACTCTTGTAGGACTAGTTGAAGGCGACAGAGATGGGGGTGAACTTGGAACATTGCTTTCTTGAGTAGGGTTCTCGGAAGGCAACTCTGATGGGCTGATTGATATTGTAGGACTTGTACTTGGATGTTCAATGGTCACTTTAGGCAATGAGGGTGATTCTCCTGTAGGGGTAGTTGAAGGCGACCGAGATGGAATGGAACTTGGAACGCTGCTTCGACTCGGCTCAGATGGAAAACCTGATGGGCCAATTGACATTGATGGACTTGTCGTAGGATTTCCTGGGGTGACTGTAGGCAATGAGTATGCGTGTGCTGTAGGATTTGTTGATGACCACATAGATGGGATGGCACTTGGTACAATGCTTCTTTGACTAGGGTTCTCTGACGGAAATCCTGATGGGCTAGTGGATATTGATGGACTTGTATTAGGATTTCCTGGGGTAACAGTAGGCAATGAGGATAGGACTCCTGTAGGACTTTTTGATGGCCACAAAGATGGGATAACACTGGGTACATTGCTTTGCCTAGGGTTCTCTGATGGAAAGCCTGATGGGCTAATTGATATGGCTGGAATTGAAGTAGGATTCCCTGGGGTGACGCTAGGCAATGAGGATGGATTTCCTGTAGGACTTGTTGAAGGCGACTGAGATGGGATAGCACTTGGTACATTGGTTAGAGTATTGGACGGCATCAAGGAAGGTGTTGGTGTGGGGACTTTGGTCGGTGGTTCAGTTGGACTGCCACTGGGTGATTCAGGAATTGCAGTTGGAATTTTTTTGAGTATGCGAGTAGGGGAGCCTGTTGGCACTCCTGTTGGCGGTTCTGTTGGTGGCTTAGTGGGAGTGAAGCTTGGAGAATCGGGGGTGACTGTGGGTATGGGAGTAGGGGATCCTGTTGGCACCCCTGTTGGAGATACAATTGGTGGTTCAGTTGGTGGCGTCGTGGGAGTGATGCTGGGAGAACCAGGGGTGACTGTGGGTGTGGGAGTAGGGGAGTCTGTAGGCACTCTGGTGGAAGCTGCTGTTGGTGAATCAGTTGGTGGCTTAGTGGGAGTGACATTTGGAAAGCCGGGGGTGACTGTGGGTATGGGAGTAGGGGGGCCTGTTGGCCAGCTTGTAGGAAATGCTCTCGGTTGTTCTGTTGGGGGCTTGGAAGGAGTGACGCTTGGAGAACCAGGGGTCACTGTGGGTGTGGGTGTGGGTGTGGGAGTAGTGGAGTCTGTAGGCACTCTGATGGAAGCTGTTGTTGGTGATTCAGTTGGTGGCGTTGTGGGAGTGACGCTTGGAGAACCAGGGGTGACTGTGGGTATGGGAGTAGGGGAGCCTGTTGGAATTCCTGTTGGAGATACAGTTGGTGGTTCCGCACTAACGTCTGTGGCAACAGCCAAATTACCTGGCAAATCCTTGTTGAACCCTTCAACAAACTTGTCTACATCAACCAGTGTTGTAAAGAGACTCACACTTGAAATTTGAGTTGTCTGCGCAGAAAATTCTACAACAGCTGGCTCAGATGACTGCAGCTTTCGTCTGGTGATTGGTCTCAGTGGGAAAACAATCTGGAGAGCTTCCGCACAGGAACTCTTTGAAAGAGAGGCATACCCAGATGAAAATGCAGAAACGAGCTCATCGTCAGTTATGGTTGTGACATCGCCTGAAAATGACACATAGTAGCTTCGCTCAACAGTGACATAAGGATCATTACAGACAATGCTGGGGGATACAGTTGTGGGACTGAAACTGGGAGAACCAGGTGTCACTGTTGGGATTCCAGTGCTTGGTATGATGGATGGACTTCCAGGAGTCCCAGTGGGAGATTCTGTGGTTGGAGAGATTGAGGGGTTTCCAGGAGTAACGGTTGGATTTCCAGTAGTGGGAGTGACAGAGGGACTTCCAGGTGTCATAGTGGGAGATTCAGTGGTGGGGGAGATTGAGGGACTTCCAGGAGTAATTGTTGGGATTCCGGTAGTGGGGGTGACAGAGGGACTTTCAGGAGTCACAGTGGGAGATTCTGTGTTTGGAGAGATCGAGGGACTTCCAGGAGTAACTGTTGGGATTCCAGCAGTGGGAGTGACAGAGGGACTTCCAGGTGTCACAGTGGGAGATTCAGTGGTGGGGGAGATTGAAGGACTCCCAGGAGTAACTGTTGGGGTTCCAGTAGAGGGAGCAACAGAAGGACTTCCAGGTGTCACAGTTGGGATTAGTGTGTTTGGGATGGCACTGGGTGAAACAATTGCCTCAATGGAGGGAGCTGTGGTTGGTGAGCTTGTGTTTGGCTGGATTGTTCCCTGGGTTGGCTCGATTGTTGGCTCGGTCGTGGGATCATCAGTTGGTTGCAGTGTGGGCTCATCAGTTGGCCGGAAAGTGGGTTGTGGTGTTGGTCTTTTCGTCGGTTGGGAGGTGGGTGGGAGTGTGGGCTCTTTTGTGGTGGGAAAGGTTTGAACAGAGGGTCTCGTTGGTTCCTTAGCACCCGCATTAGAAAATGCATTAAGCCTTGAAGAAGAAGCTGGTGACAAAGTTACCACAGCCACCGCAATTGGGGCGTACACAGGGTTTGATGCTTGAGGTGCTGCATGAAGGAACTCAGTAGTACTTGAAAAAGCCAAAAGTGATGTAGCCGACTCTGGAGAGAGAATTCCTCTGTAAATTTGGCTGGGTGTTGATGGTACTCCAGGGAGACCACTTGATTGACTCATTTCGGAGGGCATTGCCAAAAGACTGGGTGAAGCGTTTGGTAATGCCAATGATGGGACCTCTGCATTATTAGCACTGGAACTTGGGCTTGAGTGTATGGGGATGGAGGGACTGGCATTCAAAGGCCCATTGGCTTGTTGCGTGACAATAGGAGATGCAACAGGGTTGATCATAGCCACAGTGTTGTCAAGTCCAGTGGGGCCAGATGCTTTTGAAGCACTTGGACCAGAAGGGGCAGCGACTCCAATGCCCACAGGGCTCACTTGAGTCAAAATCTCTCCTGGATTAGCAGGCATTCCATTGGTGGCCTCTTTTTGAGGATGAGCAGCAGGAGCATTTGGGGCATGTAGATGACTAGCTGTTGCATCTGGAGAATTGCCACCAAAGCCTGTGACTGTTGAGGGTCCAGACCCACTTGTACCAGAAAATCCAATCTCACCTTGACCATTTGGAGTGGGCCCTGGCCCTGGGGCTCCTGCTTGACTCGAGGGCACATGAGGAGACGGCTGAATGCCGTCTGGAGAATTGCCTTCTGATCCAGATGGACTTTGTCCCATGCTGCTAGTGGGGGCATTAGGAGCCAGCACAGAGGAAGCTGGTGCATTCCCCACAGTGTTGCCATCCAGGGTAGACATCGCATGGCCATTTTCTGCGGGACTGCTTCCTGATTCCTCCCCATTTCCATTTCCGGTGTCACTACCACCCACTTGACTACCATCTTCTTCAGTACCTGTAGCAACGTTATCATTATTGACCATGGGACTGCTTCCAGATGTGTCTTCGTCTCTACCTGCGGTCACATCCTCTCCACCCACTCCCTGTCCGGTTCCAGAACCAGTAACATCCTCTCCACCCACTCCCTGTCCGGTTCCAGAACCAGTATCAAAGGAAGAATCACCATCCTCTGTGTAGCCTAAAACACTTTCACTGGAGGGTGGTTGATTACTGCCACCCAGTTGACTACCGTCTTCATCATTACCTGCACCACCATTGCCAATACCACTGTTGACCACGGGACTGCTTCCAGATGTGTCTTCGTCTCTGCCTGCGGCGTCGGTGACATCCTCTTCGTCTGCTTCCTGTCCAGTACCAGAATCGATATCAAAGGATGAATCACCACCCTCTGTGTTGCCAGAAACACTCTCAGTAGAGGGTGGCTCAATACTACCACCCCCGTGACTACCATTTTCTTCAGTACCTGCAGCAACACTCTCAGTAGAGGGTGGTTCATTGCTGCTAACTGAGTCAATGGCAGTGGCCAATATTTCTTGACAGGCTGGGACTGTTGGGGTCTGCAGACATGCCACCAAGACATCAGGGTCAATGGCTGCTCCATCTCCGTTGTCCTCAGCAGCAAGAAGCTGTTGTAGCTGCTTGCACAACTCATCATTGTCCGTGGGAAGTTCTGGATCCTCATCCGCAGAGACACACTGTGAGAGCGATGACAACTCCTCAGATATGAATGGAGTCATAATAGTCCCTTTGTTCTCTTCCACTGTCTCAACATAAGGCTGGATCACATCTTGACCAATGGAGAGAACAACTGCATTTTGCTGATCTCCCACACCCCCTCCTGGCGAAGCGACCTTTGTAGTGGCAAAGACGACCTGCATCGTTCCTCTCCTTGCTGCCTGCTCTGGTCCATCTGTTGAATCTGCCTCAAACAACACTGGCTCAACATTGTAACCAAATGAGGCAGCAAACAATGGAAAGAACTGGGACGAGTCGATGTTGGTTTTCAGCTGCAGGCTACGCCTAGACAAGCTGGGAACAATGCTGCTGCCATTATTTGCTGTGGGAGTAGTACCATTGGCTTGTTCCAAAGTTGCACTGTTGTTTGTCCCATTGGTGCCACCTAGGCTTGTCTCGTCATTGTCTGGAAGCTGGAAGAGTGGCTCATAATCTGGACAGCCGTCGCATGCAACAGTGGCCATCCAAGACGTTGTGGTGACAGGCACAATGACTTGAGTCCGCTGATTGGTGGCTGTATCGTTGGCTGAGGTCCCATTTGACGATGTCGGGGCAATGACATCCAGAAAAACCACAGCATCTTTGGTACTCCAACCTAGGAGTTCGGCACTGTGCAATACCCGTGAAAATGGATCCAAGCACATGCCGGTAATATTGTTGTAGAGATCACGAAAGATTCTGCCGAGGAGGAGAAAATGATCATTTGTGAGCATCACTAGAAGGGCTGGCAGCCAGTGGTGCACTCAACAATTCATGACAATACGGCTTACCCTTCTAGGCTGTCCGTATGCTCTGGCAGGGCATCCTCTGGCATGCCTTGAATCTTCAATTCCACAATACCTTGCTTGAGTTCCGCAGTCAGTGAACAGGTTGGGGGCACGAATGCATCTACTTTCACGACAGTGGCAGTGGTGTTGCCTGTCGGAGTGATACCCACACCAGTACTTACTGCTGCTGCTGTTACAGCGGCAACACCAACAGTCACCCCAACTTGAGATGCCACACTAGCAGATGCTACAGCACTCGCAATAGTGGTTGCAATGCTGGCGCTGGCAGCAGCTGTTGTGGAAGAAGAAGAACAATAGTTGTGTCATGGAGCTGTGTAAGATAAGTACCAAAGTGGCAAGGCAACAATCAAGAAGCGGAAAACAAAGACAATTTCCGACCCAATAAACCCCTCATTGATTTGCCACAGAGGATTGCAGGGCACTGGGACTGAACCTTACCTGCGGTTGAAGCTGCAGCAGTAGATGCTCCAGCGGCACTGACAGCTGCCTGTGTAGCCATTTGCCCAACCAAAGCTGTAGCCTGGGCTGCTCCAGCACCAGAGGCACCTCCAGCACTGGCACTCGACACGCCAGCACTGCTGGCTCCGCCACCAGCGCCCCCGGTTCCTCCTCCACCACCGGCTCCACCTTGACCGAAATGAGTCGAGCCTGCGTTATTCAAGTTGGTTGGGTTAATATCATTCACTGCGTCCATGGCAAGACCAGCCGCATCATCCTCATCTGTGCCACCCCTGCACTTCTTCATAATGAACTTCCAGACAGCAGCAAGCGTAGCCAAGATGTATTGGAATATTCCATTTTGGATTTTTTCCTCAATCAAACCATACAAGCCTTGACGAACAGCTTCTTCTCTTCCAGCATTGGTGCTGAGGCTGGAATCATCTTCGCATTCCAAGTTGAAACTGTTATTATCGCATGCATTGAGCTCGTCTTCCTCCAGATCGATTTCCTCGGCTTCCTCTTCCTTGTCCTTCTCGAACCACTTGTCAATGCCGTGGTAGTCGTCGTTCCCGAATGGAACAGCAGACACTCCAACGGAGGGCTCCGATTGACCAGGAAGTTCGGTAGAAGGGGAGTTGCCATTCACATGGTTGGCCAAATAGGTCGGGCCTTTCTTGCTGTTGTCGCTGGCTGGCATGGCTACTAGATACTTTGTAGATGATTGATAGAATGGGGAGGAAAGGCCACAGGTTCTGCTTTACTGTCGAGGAGCTAGCAGCTAGATAGATAATGCTCTGATAGTACGTTAGTTTGCTTCAGCGTGCTTGGAATGCTGTGTTTGTGACCGTTGTTGGTCTAGCTGGGTTTTGACTGGGACAATTTAAGCCAAGCTTGTTTTGATTTCCTTGACCTGGGACCGATATCCGATACTGCACTCCTTGCCATGCAGTTAGACAGCAGTCTGCATAGTCGGAAATTGTTGGCAAGGATGAAAAAGCTCTCTTCTTCTACTCTCTTTTCTTCTTTTTCTGTCACGAACAGAGACACTTAGAGTTCTTCCTTCCATTTATTTCTGCATGGATCAGTTTTCGAGTAAATGAGGATTTAGAGCACAAATGCAGAGGCGATCGTGGTTTGGTTTGGTGTTTGGTGCCAGGAAAACTAGTACCGTAAAAGTAGTTGCGGTACACTCTAGTGTACGGTACCACCCAAACCTCAGTCATTTGCAGTTTGCAGCCAAAAATGTCCTCAAACAGTCTGGCTTTCTGTAAGAAACACTTCATATTTCCCATTTTTGTGAAACAACAGTGATAGTTTCAAGGTGGCGAGTCTAGTGTTCTGAGAAGACATTCTAAAGGAACGAAGTTCAACAAGTAAAAACGTGAAACCAATTTTAATTTCACATTTTTAAAACACAAATTTACCGTACATATGTCCTCTATAATATTTTGCACGATCGAAGTCTGCTGACAATCATATGTTGTGACCCTGTCGCTCGTCGACTTCACTGGTCAGCTGGCCAGTGGCCATTTTTTCGATGACTCTTCTGTTTTTAGAAGTCCGTGAGCTGTCCATGTCGCTCCTAGAGCTTCGAGGACTCGACGATCTTGGGGATGAAAACTCTTCCAGCAACTTTTGACGCTTTGGAACCTGAGAAAAGACTCGAAGTTATTATTTTGTCTTTTTCAGAGGACTTTGACATTTAATTTCTGACGAAATCATCCTCTAAGTCATTTGTGAGGAGTTAAAATCTGTGTCGAGGTGAAGGTGAAGGTTTCTGAGATATAACGAACAGCCCTTGGGCACTGTACAGTAAGTATTATAGTGTTCGAGAACTAATATTACTACTAGTTAGTAGTACGGTAGTACTGTACTGCCCAAGATCCAAACAGCTATCCAAACTAAAAAGCGCTACCAGGTACAGTATCACGGATTACGAAGTCTGGAGTAGGTCTGTACGTCTGTACGGAGTGGTTAGAGCTTATGTACCGGTACGGTACATACTCCTAGCTATTTTAGTACTCGTACTCCAGTATTGTATTAAAAAAATAGAGCCCCTCAAGATTTCCGAAATCAGTCAGTAAAAGTACGTGTTCTTTCACTGAGACACTGACTAGTAGGGCACCCTAGCTGCGCATAGTGGAATAACCTACTGAATCTCTGTAGCTTTAGACATTTTCACTCTACATTTATTTAGAATGAAGGCTTATCAGACGTCTGTGCTCCAAAGTCTTGGTTCTGATATCGTAGAGCTGTGATGATAATTCTATAATTCTCCAATACATGCATGTGATTTGGTGATTTTGTTTGTACTGTAAGGACAGGGGGTAGAGAGCACTACATACAGCCTGTGCATATGAACAGGATTTTTAGAGAGCCAGCCTGCAGTCAAATTTTGGCCTGGCAGGCGACGCGATTCCTGTGCAATTGTACAGGAGACGTGATTCCTGTGCAATTGTACAGGATCGACGTGATTCCTGTGCAATTGTACAGGATCCGACCTCCTGTTCAATTGCACAGGAAATCTGACGTGCTTCTGCATGCTGGTTGAAGGCAGCAATATCTTTTGATTTCCCGAAACCCTTGAGTCGTACAACAAAGCCAGAAGCACGACAAGCGTTGACAAAATATGGTGCAAGCGTTTTAGTGCAAGCGTTTTAGTGCGAAACTCAGCAGTATTGGTAGAGAATTCCTTTGGGAGCCAGTGCACAATAGCAGTGTTGGGCTCCGATCGGTTGCGAGTATTGTGACCGAAGATTGATTTCCTTTCTGTCTCCATCATCTTTGAGAGAGCTAGCTACTTGAATGATTACGGGTGGAGACGTCCATACCTCAGCCTGCGAGATAGCAGGAGCGTTCCTCAATCGTGCATGAAACCGACCCTAAAATAGGGTTGGATTTAGGGTTGGATTCCCTTTAGGGTCGGGTTTTGAAACCGACCCTAAAAATAGGGACGGTTTCTGAAACACCGTCCCTAATTTAGGGTCGGGTTTCCATTTAAGGTCGGGTTTGAAAAATGTCCCTATATTTAGGGACGGATTCCCCCAAACCGACCCTAAATTAGGGTCAGATTTAAAGTCATGCATGATTGAGGAACGCTCCAGAGGAGAGTTGATCATCAGCTTGACTGAACACAGAGGACATGCTTGACTGTAATGCTGAACGTAATGGCAGATCTATACTGTTGAGTAATGAGAAAGCCTACCCAGATAAAAAAAACGTTACAATTCCTGTGCATTTGAACAGGACGTCGAGCTCCTGTACATATGCACAGCCTCCTGTACATATGAACAGGCAGGCCGTCCATTTCCTGTGCAATTGAACAGGCGTCGCTATCCTGTTCGATTGCACAGGAAATTGGACGTTTTTGAATTCAGGCCAAAAAAATGGCTAGCCTTGCTCTCAATCTGCGGGCATCCTCCCTGTTCATATGCACAGACTGTATGTAGTGCTCTCTACCCCCTGTCACTCTGGTACGGTAGCATTGAATGACAGGGCATCGGTAACATGCTAGGTAAGCCATGCTGTGGCCAACTACGTTGCCATGCAGAGAAGCGACGGTCTACTAATAAGCGTTGATCAGAATAGCGTTGATCGAATCTACCGAAGCAACCATGCAGTGGTCCTGGTGGGTGTGTTGGAGGGAGGATCGAGGAACTCCAGTCAGGGATTTTCTGCAGCAATATTGCGTCCCACCAACCAGCTCCAAGTTCATTGGAGGCAGGTGCAAGAGTCGTCTACCCGCGTTTGGTACGGTCGCATCGTTTCTTGGCGATGAGTTTCAAGTGCTGTGTGTAGAATACAGTATCTTGGCGAATGAATTCATTCATTCATTCATTCATTCATTCATTCATTCATTCATTCATTCATTCATTCATTCATTCATTCATTCATTCATTCATTCATTCATTCATTCATTCATTCATTCATTCATTCATTCATTCATTCATTCATTCATTCATTCATTCATTCATTCATTCATTCATTCATTCATTCATTCATTCATTCATTCATTCATTCATTCATTCATTCATCATTCATTCATTTCATTCATTCATTCATTCATTCATTCATTCATTCATTCATTCATTCATTCATTCATTCATTTCTTCATTCATTCATTCATTCATTAATAATGAATGAATGAATGAATGAATGAATGAATGAATGAATGAATGAATGAATGAATGAATGAATGAATGAATGAATGAATGAATGAATGAATGAATGAATGAATGAATGAATGAATGAATGAATGAATGAATGAATGAATGAATGAATGAATGAATGAATGAATGAATGAATGAATGAATGAATGAAGAAGGCCGCGGGACAAGTGCCTGCCACAATTCGTGGACCGGATGTGACGACGAAGACGACACCAACATGTATTTGCCATGGAAAAACTAGACAAATGATTCGATTCGCTTCCAATGTATTGGGATACCAGCCACATCATGATTGATTCGCGCCTTTCAAGACCCAAGAAGGGAGGAATGCGACTATTTTTAATTTTCTGCTCATACAGTATGTATACATTGTCAATGATGATGCCTATCGACAATCCAAGCAATGCAATCGAATGCTCAGCCGATTCTGGAGCCAACGATTATTAGTGGATCATCAAGGAGAGTGTGAGTGTTGGTCAACGCTTGTCATTGGATCCTGGAGATCCATGTACCGTACCGTACGACTTTGAGCAAGGATTTGCGTGGGATGCACGCCTCGGCTGGATCCACTTTCCACTGTTGTGTGGAGGACTACTAGACTAGCTAGGCAACGAACATCCTGTCTCCAAACCATGTTGTGGGTACATGTACCGGTACGTACTGGCACACGCCAAACCATCCCGAGCTAAAACAAGATTTATTGAAAACAGCTGCGCAGTTATGGATTGAGGAATGCTGGAGTAGGGAGTAGACTAGATTGGTGCTTGTTGGTTGTCAGAGCCTTTTCAGATGCCTTCAATACGGCTGTGCCATTGCAAGCTGCAAGTACACAGTAGGCTTTTTGGAGAAGCACGCGATTTCATCATCTGCTGCCATGACTTGAATACTTGAATTAAGCCAGCGGAGCTGTGTAACCTCGGCAGAAAGGTTTCAGTGTACAAGCAGATACCCCTATTAGCTTGCTAGCTAGAAGCAGATACCTCTAGTGCTTAGCTAGTGCTTAACTTGTGCTTAGCTAGCTAGAAGCAGATTCCCCCTAGCTAGAAGCAAATTCCCATAGCAAGCTAGAAGCAGATACCCTAGCTAGCTAGAATACTAGTTATATAGCTTTCACTGGCTTTAGAGTTTTTCCTGGTAGAAGCAGATCCCCCTACTAAGATGCATGTAAATAGCTTTAGCTGGTTTAAAAGCACCATCCTAGGAACTTATTTAGTTTTTGCTGACATATTTGTGTTCTAACCCTACCCTTATATCTGCAGGGACCACCGTAGCAGGAAAAACAATTAAAGGGGTTGAGGGCTCTGGCAGCAAGACTGCCGAGGTTTCGTTCCTACTACTTCCTACTTTTGCTAGCTCTAGAAAAAGTCACAACAATCACAGCACTCATCTCCCCCCTTGGACGAGGCTTGGGCAGCAGTGGCCCAACAGTATCCACAAAAGAGTGCTCCAATGCACAGAGAAAAAAGATTTTCATCCTCTTCCAATTTGCGACAACATCCTCGTTTGTCTTTTCCTTTTGCCTTTTTCCCCTTCCTTGCTGCTGTCTTTTTCTGCTTCGTAGTGCCTTCAGTGGTCTCAGACGTCGCTGTGGGGTCCACGGTAGTACTGGTAGGGATGTCATATTTTTCCCAATCGTCTTCGCTGCCGCGTTCAGTGATTTTCTTCACCGCGGGAGCAGGGGTTGGTGCCACATTGGCAAGTGCTTCCAAAGCAGCCTTGTCTCTCTTGTCCGATTTCGGTGAGGACATGCTGTGGGGTTTTGATGTGGATCGCTGTTGCTCGATTGCTCTGGATTTTATGAAGCAATCATCAGCTTGGATGACAAGTTCGAATTCGACGTCCCCATCCTCTCTGATGAGCTACAACAAGGTTGCTGCGAAGCTTTGAGTGCTTCGCATTATCGATCTCCGGCAAGCAAGCCTTCTCGTTTGACTCCCGCCTGGTATACCCACCGTACAGAACCGGTACCAACCGTACAGTAAAGGTATAACCCCTCTAACAAACCAGGAATACAACCGTGTACATGGAGTACCAGGCTCTACGTGTTACCCCGTCTTTCCTTATGTTTGCGGTGTTTTTGCCTTTCTCCACTCACTGGAACATGCGAACGACCTGCTCGCTCACTGGAACATCGACACTGGTATGAACGAAGCTTCACTGAACACAGACCACTGAACGACCAAAGGAACACAAGAAGACTGACCAAGTCAATCCAAGCAAAAGATCGCAAGTCGCTCGAAACTCGCAAAGTCCTGGGAACACTGGAAACGAAAAACTCTGCCAAACAATGAATTTGCTCTGTAGTTTCACTCTACAGAAGGGGCAGAGTGAACTCCCAGAGTTTTGGCTAAGTAATGAGTTCGAACAGGCCGCAGAATGTATGTGACCCGAGTTGGCATGACAGGGATGGCAGGCGCATGATTCGATCCTTGCACAGACCAGGTATACTACTATCTATATATGTATACCTATATATTTTATAACCACAGGTTAACGTCCTAGAAGAGGAGTTGTCACATTCACAAAGTACACGAAAAGAAACAATTACGCCCTCATGCAAACCAAAAAACAGTCAAGGCTGCTCTGACAAAAGACATATGGTATGCACGAAAGAAGGCAACAAAGAAGAACACATGTAATCTTATACGTTAATTTTCAGGTCTAGAATAGTACCTAAAACCTTACACCTCGAACCTCCTGGCTAGCCGGATATCTTTGCATGATGGTATTCTCTTGGCATGGATAACACAAAGGTTGGAACATTGGAACATGTCCAAAAGATGGGCTTCTGATGCTTGCTGGAGAGCTTCCATTGCGACCCTTGGAACCTGATGTCTTTTCTAATATCAGAAGCTATGTCTCGACAAGACGCTGAAAGGGCAGTCTCTGATTAGGAGATCGGTTGACTTCTGGATACCTTCGAATTTCTCGTAGAGCCACAGTTCCTGGGCGATGCGCTGTCGCTTTTTGACACACCTTCAATGGAGGAGGACCTTCCTGGCGGCCCGCTTTGCTAGCGCTTTCCGGAATCTGGGATGTTGTCCGTCGACTACTTTGCTTCAGTTGGTTTAGTCCTACCATAATGGAGGAAATCTATTTTATGTCTCATTATTTTGGACTGTGGATGGTCGCTGCGTTAAACTGCATGCATAGTAGGATGGCCGTCTTTGCTCTCTAGTACATACTTCCTGCTGGTATAATCAATATAGTCGTTGCAGTACTGGGGCTGGGGGCTGGTTGGGGGTCATTCTGTTTTATATAACTGAAGGTTTGGGTTCGTTGGCAGTAAATTACAAGCAATCTCGTTGGCATTGAACTATTTTTTGAAAAAGTGATTGGG